GGGGTGGGGGTGGGGGTGGGGAATGAAGATAGATAAAGGATAGATGATGAATACCATTGAAGATTAGATCAATTTTTCCATTCTTACATCCCTTTCTGCGTAATATGTCAGCAAGAACACTTCTCAACAGAAAAATTAGTACTAAATTTCTTCCTCATATGGAAATTCGGGAGAATGCTAGTATCTTCTATGTGTCTTTGCCGATAAGCTATGAAGATTTTAGGAGACAACTAAGTTCCTGGTAGGTGATAGAAAGGGTAAAAAGTACAGAGTAGTTGCAGAAAAATTACTTCCAGCATTTTCTTTGTTTCATTTTACTGATCTATTTTTTTACACCCTTTATCCATTTTACACCCTTTATCCATATGATTAAGCCACTGCAAGTAATTAATACAAATCCAACTGTCGAAACAAATGATGTATTCGCACCACGTTTTACAAATAATTGTTCATTTTCTTTCATTTTGTACACCCAATATTGAAGGAATGAGTTATGATCCCTGATCTCTGAAAGTGATACAAGAAGGCAAAATAATTCAGTTAGCATATTGTAGCATGGATCAAATTAACTAAGAAACTTTCATTGATATCCTCTTATCTACTGTGCATTTCGGATGCATAGGGTTCAGGAAAAACATTATTGGCCAGAGTCTCTGCAACATCCGTTGAAAGACATGAAGACATCTTGGCACACATGTAAGGAAATTTGCAAGCAATTATTTCCTTTACTTTCTTTTCTTTGGGACATAATATCATGGTTTGAAGTGCATCATGCTTATGCCTTGTCACTTCGTGAGAAACTTGTTTTTTTAGTGACATGAGTTTGTGTATATGGTAAATTCTCACAATTTCATTGTTATAATTGTTTTCCTGCTGCAGAGTTTTTGTATCTTGTTCCAGACTTGCTTTACAGAAGCCTTCAAGCATTCGTCAGGCACTTTCGGGCTACATAACTGAAGCTTTAGATCATTCGCCCTCTGTCATCATCTTAGATGATCTTGATAGCATCATTACCTCTTCCTCAGAGCTGGAAGGATCTCAACCTTCATCCTCTTCAGCTGCACTCATAGAATTTCTCAATGATATATTAGATGAATATGAGGCAAGACCTATGTTTCCTCTCCATTTTTAATTATTTCTGTGCTTTTCTGATGGTCATTTAACTTTTGTAATGCTTGAACTGGAGCTTCTCCAGATTTTCATCTCTGACTAACTGGATTAATCATGATATAAATGTGACGTAACTTTCAGATAATTGAACCCAAAAAAAAAAAAAAAAAAAAAAATTCTTCTTTTTTTTTTTTTTTTTTTTTTTTTTTAAACCATGCCTTTTCCATACTAGATGCGATTTCCTGAGATTAAATTGCTACTCAATATTCGTGATTTTCAAACATATGTAAATGCATATGATAAATAAAGAAGACTTCTGCTGGGTTATATTATCAGCAATAGTTGTGTCCGCAGTCACTCCCTCCAGCATCTTGTATCCATCTTTCTCTAACTCAAAGATGCTAAAGAAGATATAGCACAGATATTTTGTCATTAGATGATGTTCAACTCAAAGCTCCCATCATCTGGTTGGACACGCTTTCAGGTCATTTCCATTCTCTCTGTCTGCTGACTTGTAAGGAAAGATTACTAGGATACTGGTGATCACGAATTTTGAGATTATTCTGCCATAGCTTCTTTATGATCTATTACCAGCTGGCTGTACCTTTTTAGTTGGAAACTTACTGCCTACTGATACCTGTAGCTTGTGGAGTTCTACTGTCTTGCCTGTTCTGATCATTTGGTTGAATCTAATGACTAAAAAGATATAAAGATGCTAATCATTATTTCTGTGACTGGCTTAAAGTTTGCGATAACTTAACACTTGTCACAAATTTCTTTGAAAATGGCACATTTTATCAAGATCTTCTTTAAGATTTCACACGTTGCTCTATGCTGATGGCTTGGTTCTGCAATATCAGGAGAAAAGCAGGACTGCTTGCGGAATTGGCCCCATTGCTTTCATTGCTTGTGCACAGACCCTGACTAATATTCCACAGAGCTTGAGCTCGTCTGGTTAGTCATTCTGAAAACACGAAGTTCATTGTGTTTTCATGGTAATGAATTCTGTGTTTCTGCCACAAATATTCAGTGTTATGAATAACCTGTTCTTACCCCTACAAAATTTATTTGACCAGGGAGATTTGATTTTCACGTTAAGCTGCCAGCTCCGGGTGCCTCAGAACGTTCTGCTTTATTGAAGCATGAGATCCAGAAGCGATCCTTGCAATGTTCCGATGATGTGTTGTTAGATATTGCATCCAAATGTGATGGATATGATGCTTATGATCTGGTATTTGGTTTATATAAACAATAGACAGTTTCTTATGTTACTAGTGGTTTTGGCTAAAATTCTCTAACCTTATGATATTTTGATTGTTGGTTATCTGCTTCGTGAAAAATAGCATAAATGATTAATGACATTAAGGCATGATTACATGGATTTTCACTTTATAAACCTGGACGTCTTAGGTAAAAATATCCACCCCCATGAAATTGCTCTAAAACCTTCGGTTTGATAGATCTTAGTCAGAACAGATAAATATTATTCAGAAAGTATTCTCTTTGAGAGGGAACAGACCACAATTTAACAGAACCACAATTTACTGAATTGAATGCTCTTTCTTTCTTTTTTTTAAAAAAAAAAAAAAAAAAAAAAGCGCTGAAAGTGTGGTTTATATAGGCAAAGCCTAACAGCCGCGTTCAACTTACATGAAAAAATAAATGGATACTCCTAAGAAATAGATAATAGAAACAGTAATGCAAAACAAAAATGAACTTGTAGAACATAAATGTAAAACTAGAAAACGGAATACTAAATCTTCTCAACAGCTCCATGGTCTTATTCTCCAACTAACCCCACGTGCTCTGTCATCCTTCACATATCACGGTTGATACTACTAGGATAAGAGGATGTTGTTAGTGATAGCATGTTAATTCTTGAATTCATGATAACAAAAGATCAATATAAGTGGGAATGTGTAGTTGATCTTATATAGACACCTTTCTTTTTACCTGGAAGATACCTAGTTGGCACTTCTCCATTTTGTTCCTTGATAGTATAAAATTCTGTTAAAAATTGTGTAATGAAGAAGTATATCCTTATGCATTGTGCTTGCTGTACTTAAAATTTTGTTCCTCACTGTTTCTTGGAGCACCAGTTTTTTATTTAATAAATTTGGCTACTTCCGTGTTACTCGTAGTCTCGTACTACTGGGTGACCAGATATAATATTGTCCTTTTTCTGTGAGACCTTAGAATAGAGGAAATTCCAACTATGGTTAAAAGGCTTTCGCTTCGGGACTTGACAGTATATATGGGTACTTTCCAAGTTAGAAGAAAGGGGGAATCACTCAACTTCCTAGAATAGAATTTGGATCTCAGTTCACCCATTTGTGGCAAATAAACTGTCAATTGTTTGGTCCAATTCTTCTTTTTGCATGTTTATAAAATCAATCATAATTGTATCGTCTTTTGACATATTTGAAGTTGTGGATATATCTAGTTGCATTGGATATAGTTATGGTGTTGAACCTAATGGAATGACGAAAAATAATTCATATAGCTGACCCCATATATATTTGGGACTATGACTTAGTTTTTTGCTTGTTTATTAGTTGTTGTGGCTATGTAATAAAGAGAGAACTTTCTATTGACTGGCGATGTTAGAAATGTTTCACACGGGCTGCGTATTTGTCATGATGAGTCACTAGTTACTGAACTGCAGTAGTTAAAAAATCATAGAAGCACTCCTGTTTGTGTAGATTTCTATGTATAGTGAAGTTATATATGATATAGCTCTTTTGGTAAATATTTCACATATATTTTTATGTATCTAAAACTTAGAATGAGTAACATTTAAAGGATATACTTAGAAATACATTATCATTTCAGGAGACAACATGGCTCATAAGAATATACTTAGAAACATATTGTCATTTCAGGAAATACTGGTTGATCGGTCAGTACATGCTGCCATTGGTCGCTTTTTGTCCAATGATTTGAGCTTTCACAAACATGAGAAACCTGCTTTGGTTAGGGATGACTTTTTGCTAGCAATGGATGATTTCCTTCCAATTGCTATGCGTGATATCACGAAACCATCTAAAGATGGTGGTCACTCTGGGTGGGAGGATGTTGGAGGGCTTAATGACATCCAGAACTCTATCAAAGAGGTAAATCTTCTGCCGTTCAACCAGTTTGGGTATTTAGCATTTTTTTATTTGAAACACAAGTAAAAATTACATAACGACATCAAGATAATTGTTGTGCTGCTGAAATATAAGATCTTTCTGAAATCCAGCTCTGTTTCCTATTTCTAATACATGCAAAGTCTAGAGCTATGAACTTGATTTGTACCTGGGTGTCCTTTAGTTTGATTATATGCTTTCATTACTTACTCTCAAGCACCTGTTTGATATATTGTGTTTGTGATTTCTGTTTCGTTCTCAGATAATTGAACTACCTTCAAAATTTCCTAATATCTTTATACAATCTCCATTGAGGATGCGGTCCAACGTTCTCTTATACGGCCCCCCTGGTTGTGGAAAAACACATATTGTTGGCGCTGCTGCTGCAGCCTGTTCCCTACGATTCATCTCAGTGAAGGGGCCTGAACTGCTGAATAAATATATTGGTGCTTCTGAGCAAGCTGTAAGAAAAAAATTCTTATTATCTCATTTTTCTACTTTTGAACTTTATTATGTTTCCCATTGCTTATCTTTCTCAATTCTCATCTTTTGGTACTTTAAAAAGTTTCAAGTCATTGCATATTGAATATTCGGAACTGCATTAAAGCCTAGTTCCTGTTTCAGTTTGCTTCATGATGGTGAAGCTACTGCTACAGTTTGTCAAACAGCAGGAAAATTTTAGAAGGACAATAATGATGTAGATCTAGTCTCTCTTTATCAAATAAAAAATTAAGGATAACAGTTGGGAATTCCCAGATTGAAATGAAAAGAGATCGTGTTTTATGGCTTCTTGTTCCATGGGTGCAATTGTTTATCTTATCCTTTGGTTGGATCTTTTAATTGGATTGCCTGATAGATATTCATGTATCGATTTGTTATGTACTTAACCTGTGTTTCTTTGTGCATCCCCATTGTGTGAATATCTGTTGGGTCTTGGATGACATAACCTCCACGCTACAGCCATTTACAGCATAGGCAGCTGACTAACGTACATGCACTGTCTCAGGTTCGTGATATATTCTTGAAAGCAGCTGCTGCAGCACCATGCCTTCTCTTTTTTGATGAATTTGATTCTATTGCTCCAAAGAGAGGGCATGATAATACTGGTGTGACTGATAGAGTAGTCAATCAAGTGAGTTTCTCCTTTATGTCCTGTGCTGGATCTTCCTTTACTCTTTCCCTTTAACTTGGTGTTGTATTCCTTTCTATTGACGTATTCATCCCATTTGTCATCTAGTTTTTGACAGAACTAGATGGTGTTGAAGTTCTGACTGGTGTATTTGTTTTTGCTGCCACAAGGTTAGTTATGGTGCTGGAATTCTTCTTTTTCTTTTTTCTGATTTAATTTTTGAGATTTTTGTGGTTCTTTGAACCTACATTATTTTCTGAGAAATGACTTGGTATATGCTATTTCTACGTTAGTGTTGAGGTTGTCTGAAAATTTCAACCCTTTTGCATGATGATAGTTGTGAACCAGGTTGGAATGTATGAAATAGTCACAGCTATTAAATACAAGCACTAGATCTAGGATTTCATGTTTAAGTTAACCAGGTACTCATAACTCTGATACTTCAATGCTAATGGCATTTTACCTTAGCTTTCATCATAAGTTATGTAATGATAATGAATTAGTCCCAAAATTTAAAACGTGGTGAATTTGAATTTGGTGGGCATTTACATTATGTCCAATAAGGTTTATTCCTGAGGAAAATTATTCTGAAGTTATGACATCTATAGGAGGTAAATATAGTAATTCCTGCCTGAAAACATAAAACTCATTTTGACTCTCAATGCACGTAATACTTATAATATGGTGTTGCATATTATTCAACAACTATGAATTTCTTATGTAATACACCATTTTCTTGAAACTTCCACATCAACAACTCAAGGGTAATCAGTCAAATAAAATTGATCAGGTAGGCAGGATATGCACAAAAAAGATAGATTAAACCTGTTGCCTATGAAGTGTAATATTTTGTAGAAGTAAATCATAAATGACTAGTTTCATTATAATGACGCAGACAAAAGTGGCTTATAGTTTGGAAACTTTTATGGGTCAAACAACTATCTTAAAAATTGAGATTTTATTTAAGCTTTTCTTAACATCATATAAAATGGCACTTCAATGTACATATAGTACTTAAAAATTCTATTCCTTGACATAGATTACTTGGATTACCATGATACTTAATCCTTGTTTGAGCCCTATTTTTTGGGGAAAAAAATGAATTTTTGAATAGTGTTTTAATCGCATTTTAACCACACATTCTTCAATAGAATAATAGTACACGCAAACCTAAACCTTTTCCTCATTTTTAACCACATATTTTCCATCAATACACTAGTCAAAAATTCTTTTATTTTATTATTATTATTATTATTATTTATTTCATTTATTATTATTATTATTATTATTATTATTTACAAAAATGAGGCTCAAACAAGGGCTTAATAACTAGTTTCCTTTGATAATACAAATCGTTAGAAGTATGCACAACACACTGATTTTTGGACACCCAAAATATCATATGTATTTATAACAAAGTATGAAATTGAAGCTTAAGTAGAAGTGGGTGGAATTTTTTTATCCTCCTCGTGTAACGTTAAAAAAACACTTCTTTTTTTAGGGCTAAATAAAACTTCTTTAAAATAATGACATTTCCTCGAAACATATAAACTGTGAAAAACTTGTAGGCAACATTCCATAGGTCTTCATCCACACGAATCAATATCCCGAACCACTAAGAGTCAACAGCCCACATCTGGAAAACAAATTCCACAATGCGGAATTAATGAGTCACCTACTTGACAAACGAAGATTTTGCATGTGCATATGGATGCCATTTGTGAATCATTTTACGAAATAAGATCCTCATTTATGCCTTTTTCTCGGGGTGATAACTGATAACACATTTCTCATCATGATACATCATTAAGGACCTTCCATGCTATGCTTTTGACATTGGCATAGCATTATAATCATAATTGCTAATCTTATAAATAGCCTCATGGAGGTGGATATGATCTACTATGCTTTGGTGAATTGTCCAACTCCAATTCAGAACGAGATCATTATCATGTAAAATTTTCACAGAAACTCCAATCCGTGTTCATGTGTTTTTTTTCCCTATGTAGCTGTGTAAACCTCATGGAAGTGGACGTGATTAACTTTGCTTTGATAAATAGTTCAAATGTTCTGCAAAATGAGAATGTTATAATTTGAAATTGTAATGAAATGTAGCTTGTTAACTTAGTCACTGTACCAATTCGCCCGTTGCATTTTTAAATCAAACAGTAGGCCGGATCTGCTTGATGCTGCACTTCTGCGACCTGGTCGGCTGGACCGCCTGTTATTTTGTGATTTTCCTTCGCAGCGTGAGAGGTTGGATATTCTTTCAGTTCTTTCAAGAAGGGTTAGTACTCATATTTGATAGAGCACCATTTTAGCTTCATATTGTTTATACTATAATTACCATTATTGTTAACTTTCGTGAAGTTAGAAAACCTGATATTGGTGTTTTCATTGAATGAAATGTCTTCCAATTTAATCAAGCGAGAATATATTTTGAATGATATCCACCACGCTTTAGTATTTTCAATCTGTTACACGTACTTGCTCTATTGCTGATCGATTGAATTATATTTATATTGTACGATACACTCATTCAACTGCATTACTTCTAGTGTTAGTTTAGATTTGGTAAGCACCTATATTTTCAATTTCGTTAATGATTATCTAGTTGAATTTTTCAATTGCAGTTACCATTGGCCAATGATGTTAACTTGGATGCAATAGCTCACATGACTGAAGGTTTTAGTGGAGCTGATCTTCAAGCTCTTCTTGCTGATGCTCAACTTGAAGCAGTTCACAGTTTTCTCGACAGTGAGAATGGCAGCAATCAAGGGAAGATGCCCGTGATCACCAATGCTCTATTGAAGTCTATTGCATCCAACGCAAAACCATCAGTTTCAGAAGCCGAGAAGCGGAGACTATATGATATTTACAGCCAGTTCATGGATTCAAAAAGATCTGCTGCTGCACAGGTCTCTCCCCCCCATCCCCTCCTTCCCTCGTGTATATATTATGTCAAAATGGGTAGACAATGAAAAAATGTTTATAGTGGTTTATAGCGGAAGAATACGAATAAAAAATAAAAAAATAAAAAAATGGAACATGGCCAACACGAGTGGTGGGCAAAGCCTGTGAGTTTTGATACCTCGAAACTTGAGAATTTATGTCATAATCCCTTATGCTTGCTCATATTTTTGTTCAGTCGAGAGATGCGAAAGGCAAAAGAGCAACCCTAGCTTAAAGACTTGTCTTGGAATATGAAGGCTACAAATGTGAAAAGCCAGCAATTGCCATATTACCTAACAAGAGGAGCCATTAGCAGTACGGGTCTCGGGAACTCGAGTATGGTTCATCCTCTCCAATTTCTCTCGTGCCTTTTCATCGCCACGAGTTCTTGGTATCTTCCTCTTTATCTACTTATTTGATAGTCTTCAGTTTCTCTTTTCTTTACTTTTCTTTTTTAATAAATATTTAGAACACCAGAAGTTTTCTTTTTTGTGTATAATATGATATTTGCTGATTATTGTATAGTACCTTCATAAAAATGAACTATTAATAAAAATAATAAATCCATGGCACCTTCAGTTTTTATTTTCTTAAAACATAGATTCCTCTCAACTTTATAATTTGTTTGTTCATTTACTAAGAACAAATTGACATTTAGACATGATATGCTCTTCCATATTTGCATCTTAGAATGTATGAAAATTATAATATAAATTTGGTGTCTGTTGAATTTTTGGTACAGCATTTATTGACAACGCGTTAAGGTTTCGTACAAGTGACATATATGAATATATTCTTAAAAATTCCCTCGAAAGTTCCGTGGATTTCCCCCCCAGAGAAATAATGATAAGCTTACTATTGCCAATCACTACTAATTGAATGAGAAAATACTTCTCGGATATGAGTAGGATGATCCATAAGAGAGATGGCAAGCTTCGAGCCCTATCGCTGGCACGTCCCTAATCTACTGGGTTCTTCTTAGCATTAATTTGGGTGACAGTAAACCGTAACTAATTTCAAGTGTGATGTTAATGAAGTTTATTGCCATCTCGATTGTTGCTAGTGGTGCTGCATAGCATTATTCTATTTGGGATATTAATGTTAATTTTGAGTTGGTGGGTGGATGTGAAATGAATTTGGAAATTTAGAGACTTGGGTGCACCAAACCGATGGATAAAGTCTATCTAGTTGACCATAACTAGAAGTGTGAAACCGGAAACTTGCAAAGAAATGCTCCTAAGATTCTGTAAGCAATAGTCTGAAATTTGAAAACGATTAAGATAGCAATACAATCATGTTCTACATATAATATTATAAATGATTCTAGGAATTTGTCGATGAAGTTTAAGCTTGGATATCCCCATTCGTCAATTTGAAAATTTGGTGCAACTCAATGGTATTAAAAGCAGACAATTTTGTAGTGCAAAGTTTAACAAATAAGGACAATGACTCAGGTTTCTCATGCTAAATGCACAATTTATATTGTGTACCCAACCCATAAGAGGTAGAAATTTGTCGAGAAATTTAACGTTATTTGATAGAGAATTTTAATTAATTATGTAGCATATATATATATATATGCTAAAAAGTAACAAGGTTTGATGTTGGCCTCGTACTCTCTCCCACCTCTCTACCTTTCTACACAAATTCACTGGTTGAATAACATGAAAAATTATTTTGTTGAGAAAATATCACGCTTGCTGATACTGTCCTAGTGATGATACCAATGATTCAACATAACCAGCCATCTTGCTATTCCATTCTAATTATTATTAAGAAAATTGGCTCGTTCCTCATTGGTAGCACCATTAACACGTTGCACTCATGGTCATCTAGACTAGGCTCATTAACATGTAACTTTCTTTGTCATTGCCATTTATCATAAGAAGGAACTAGCATATGAAATTGACGCAACAGTTAGCGTCTACCACTCCTCTACTTTAGACTCAATCAAAGTCATTCGGGAACAGTCCGAGAGAGAGAGAGAGAGAGATTCATTTCGTTGAAAAACAAGTCGGGAGATCTTTTGTGATGAGTAGCTTTACAGGTGTATGATAAAAGAGTTGATAAAATGTGTTTTAAAAAATGATAATCAAGTACGGGCTTACTTTTTCCACGTCCATTTGGGGATTTGGAATTTGGAGCATAAAACGTGACACAACATGACACATGAAAGGTTAGGTTAATGTGAAGTAGGATAGAGAAGATATTAAGACATTGACTCAAGTACCAACAAAACTCTCGTGGTTGAGATTATAGGAGACTTTGCAGGAAGCTTCATGCCAAAATTATCTTCAAAACACGTTATGTAGACGTGATTTATGGTTCGAGTCCGCGGTTTCGAAACCAAATTCCACTTAGAAAATGACAGCAAAAATCTATAAACATACCGACTGCAAAATCTCCCAAGATTTCCAACGAATTTTAAGTTATTAACTGTCAATGGGACCTCAATTTTCTATTAAAAAAATGTATAAATAAAAACATGGATTTAGAGGAAAAACGAATATCAGTCTTAATATAGTATCATATCCCATTAAACTTCAATGAATGATCCGATTAAAACTCAATAAATGAGCATATGGATTTCAAGATTGATTTGCTCAAACGAGCCACCATTTGCGGTGGCATGTTAAGGGATAAAATTCCATATCGAATAAAGATGGAAACATACACCAATTTATAAGGTTTTGAACTAGCCCTCTTAAGGTTGATTTTTTAAGGTGGAACCCCAAGTTTTAACATCTTTATTTGATGATATCCCTTAAGATGTCAAACCCTCTATATGTTATCCGAAAGATTATTCTAATATGTAGGCTGGAAAAATCTAATTTGCTTTTACTTTTGCAAAGATTGAGAAGATCAGAAGTTGATTTTTAGCTTTAGATTAGTGGATAACATTAAGGGGGTGTTTGAGCCACATTATTCCAAAAAAAATATATTCTTAAACAGTGATTTGACATTATTTCCAACTCACATTCTTCAATAAAATAATATTACACGCAGATTAAAATTTTTTTCTTATTTTTTAACCACACATTTTTCAT